CTGGTGCAAATTACTGACCTCTGTCATCATTTTAAGTGGGGGAACTTGCACAATCGGTGGCTGACTAAATACTTTTTTGCCCCACTGTAACACAGTAAGAACTATGCTCAACAGCAGGGCTGCCACAAATAGTCGACTAGTCGCGATTACGTCGAGTATTAAAATCGTCAACGACTAATTTCATAATCGACGCGTCGTTTGAAGCTTTGTAAGATCCCGAAAGACGCATGAATAAGTAGTAGGATTTAAGAGTGTAATAACGGACTGAAACAGAAGATGGCAGCACTGCATGTCCAGGGATACCAGCTGCCGTTAAACCCCGAATAAGAAGAAAAAGCAGTGTCTGGTTTCATAGCTGTGTTCAAATTCAGCGGCAGCATCCTTCAGAGGCCGCATTTGTAGGCCAATTACGTTACAGGGATGCGGCGAAGCATGTCAAAATTCGAAGACAGAAATATCTGCTCGGTTTATCAAGACATCACATATTTGTAAAAGTGCTCTGATGTTTTCAGAGACGTCCGTTACCCACCAGCTCGATAGCTAGAGGGTTCAAGGCTCACTAGAGCTGGCGAGAACAGCGAACTCCTGGCACATCATTTTCAAACCCCCCGCAGTCTTTCGCTACTCAGGTTAAACATGATATATAAGAACTGATTAAACAGAAGTGTGAGATGGTCGAGAGTTTACTCCAGTGTCCTGATATATTTTACATAGAAAGAACAGACGGCCGAGTTTATTAAACTCCACCGAGACCATCTGCAAATTTCATTAAAACTTTAATAAACTATCATCTTGTCTTTATTTTTAGTTAGCACATAGCTTACAGCTTGAAGTGTTTAATGTAATGATAGTCATATAAGAGCAGACGCATGCTGGTGCAATAAGCTGTGTGTTTAACGTCCAATGGATGCATGATCTGATTAGTTGACTAATCACAAAAATAATTGGTGACTAGTCAACTATCAAAATAATCGTTTGTGGCAGCCCTACTCAACAGTTTTAAATGTTTAAAATTTTTTGCAAAATAAGCCAAACGGTAAAAGGAGCATTTCCTATATAGTGCTTTTCTATTCTAGCTGAGCACTCTTCACACAACATGCTTCACACCAACTTTTTCTAGCCAACATTTACACTCTTGATTCAACTCTCTTGATAGTACCTTGGGGTTAGTACCTTGCTCAAGGCTTTGGATTTGGTATGCAGACTGGAATCACACCACCAGGCTTTTGTTTAGTAGATAAACTGGTCTACCTTCTTAGCTAAATTATATACATTACTTTTAATTCTGCTATATAAAAAATGATTCTGAAATGACTGAATGAAGTGTTGCATATCTATGTTACACACAATTAGGCAGCAGCACAGTATAAGTACTGTACAGCATGACATTGCAGACTGCTTAAAAAGTGTGACTAGTAAACACATCACATTTCTTTTTAGACATGGAGCCACAAATAGTGTCATGCAGGGCCCTACCTGTCTTGAGCGGCTCAGTCTGGTCTGCGCGTGCTGGGTCTGCTGTGTGTCAGTGCGACCCTGCTGTCCTGCTGACCTGCTGAGGCGAGTCTGAGGCTGGCTGCTTGGAGCCTGTAGCTCCACGGAGCAGGAGGCGCTGGATGAACTCTCATCAACCGAAGCTTCAAGCCAAAGAAAAATAATCACTATTCCACATGTTTGCAAACAGCAGATACACTTAACATTTACAAGGTGGGCGTGCAGCCGCAAGTAGCACAGAACTTAAATTTTTTACGTCTTAACTAAGACGATGAAATGGCTTCTACCCAAACTCAAGCTTATTTGTGGCTTCTACCCAATATTGACAAATTTGACCTTAATCTCTATTAATGACACCATTATTGTTTTCAGTCTAGTAAAATGGTTACTTTAAAATAAATAAAGTGCATAAAAGCCTCTTTGTACAGTTCTGTCAACAGATCTTGTGGTTTTGACTCTTATGCACATTTATAAATGAATCAAGTCGACCCACATGCGGATCTCTGGGATGTGTTATTGCACTGAGCCTCAAAGGGGATTCTCATTTCATTTACATTTCTCAGCTTTGATTACAAAATATCAGAAACAATGAGACTGAGTAACAGAAATGTCTGTTTCAAATAGTTTGAATGCCCCAGGAAAACAAACAGAGGACAGGCACTGCATCACAGAGTAATACTGACCAGGAGATAAGACAGAAAAAAGAAAAAAAAAGAAAAGAACTGTAACTACACATTTAATCCCTGACAGATCATAATATATAACAGTGCATGTCAGTGTTTTTACATGATAAATGTGTAAAATTATTTAAGTTCTGGTAGCCCACTGCCCAGACTCCCCCATATTTATAAAACAAAGTTTTTATTGATTGATGGAAAACAAAATTTTTTCTCCCAAATAAAGGAATTTTGTTTTTACTACTGGCTGCTGCATAACAGGGGCCAAGGAATCAAGTCATCTTCATGATTTACATGGTCTGGAGTGACAGACACTTTTTATCTGTAAGGCCACATCAGACTCGGACATCCTAATTAATTCAATGTAACGAACACATCCGAGAATATAAATGTGCTAAATTGGTACGTCTTACTGATATGCAGTTCAGTATACAGGACACTATCTTGCCATCATTTACTGTTTACCTTTTGTTTTAGCTCTCTGACTAGCAAAGCACCACTGCTGAGGTGGAGCTGCAAACAACTAGACCAACAGAATGACTGCATAGCATCATTAAGGAAAAGACAAAGGGATGTCAGGGCTCTAGAGTGCGACCAATTTGGTCGCAAATGCGACCAAATTTTTCAGTGGTGCGACTAAAAAAAAATATTTGGTTGCACCTGTGCGACCAACTGTTCGGGTAGCAAAAAAAAAAAAAAAATCTGCAACCTTCCCTGTGGTCAACAACAGACACACATTATGCCCCTATCGTGGACTAAACCAATCAGAGATAGTAAGGGGCGGGACCTCTCTGATTGGCCGTGGTCCAGTTGAAAGTGCAGGTGGAAGTGGGAGGTGAGTAGCTTGAATAAAGCGATATCAATTCATTAAATCCTGAATCGACTTTTAAATATAACTGTGTTTTGCCAGAAACGCCAGATTCTCAGATTAAAGCTCACAAAACCATTTCAACAACAACCAAACAGCAAATGAGAGCAGGTACACGGATTCCACACAAAGACGTAAACACAGAGCACCGACGCATCAGAATCAGCTTTGTCTTTCTCGGCTTTCTCACCCGACGGCCCGTAGACGGACACGCTGTCGGAGCTTAGCGATCCTGATGCGTCCGGTCCGCGCTGTGATTACGTCTTTTTGTGCTGATTCTGAGCTGCAGGTTTTGTCTCTCCAACCAAAATTCACCGAGCCAGCAGCAAAAGAAGCAGCAAACTGCGCTTCACATTTGATTAATGTCGTCATGAATTTTGCTGTTTTGCTTCCACGACTATTAAAATCACACTTCATGCACAGCTAGCTCTCTCTCTGTACTTCAAGAACAGTTTCCCGTCTCCAATCTGTATTATTCATTCGCTTATTACCCACCAGTCTACCGTTGTTTACAGCGCTGTCGGCAGCTGTCTTTTTCTTTTCTTCACTTAAATGACCTCGGACAAGAAGTGGATATAGCTGTAATAGGAAAAGAACTATTGCTAACTTTTCTGTTAAGTTAAGGCCTGATCCTTCTGAAATTCATAGCCAGTGCTCTGACACGGTGTCATCACTCTTTGAAAGCTGAAAAAGCACAGTGTATCCAGAAAAACACATTCTATTATATAAATTATTATAGAATTTGTGTGCGCCTAACTTTTGTGCGCCCAAAGTTAGTCTAGAGCCCTGGATGTGGTATGCACACTAAGAGGTGACCAGCACACGGCTTAATGATGTTACCATCATTGTCCACACTGGCAGCAGCAGTAGTCTCAGTGGAGTCGCAGCTCTCCTGTTCAGTGGCCTCAGTGGGACCAACTGGGGCCACGGCTGAGCCTGCTGCCGGGGTGCTGCTGCTGGAAGCTGGGGGTGTCGTACCCCCAGCCGGCTCTGATGGTGTCTCTGACTCCGAGGTTGCCTTTGTCCACTGGGGAGCGTTTTTCTACAGAGCAAAAGAGTGCAGAGTAGGCGATGCCCTTCTTAATAACAGTATTCTCCGCAGGCATAATGTACACTGTCAAATCCAACAGTGCAAAGAAGAATTTTAAACAATCAAAACATCAGGTGTTTAGGAAAAAAGTGGAGCACTTCAGGAGCTACTAGTACAAATATTTAGTAATAAGTCAGTGAGCAAGTACTTTTGTAGCAAAGATTCACCACTGTGAATATAACGAACACAAGCTGAGAGTTGCATCAGAATTTGGGAGAATATTATTTTGGGAATTGTTGATTCAGTACCTTGAGAGTAAAAAGACTCATTCGTCCAGGTAGCTTGAAGAAGATACTGTTCTTGACTCGATCCCCTCTCACTTGGGAATGCAGCATGGTGACCAGGCAGGCCAAAGGAGCTGTACCACTGTACACATGTACACACACACACACACACACACACACACACACACACACACACACACACACACACACACACACACACACTTCCAGTTACAGCAGCTTCGTACTTCATGGCAAACAATCGAAAACTTGATGTGCCACCATGACGTTTCACGAACACCCAATTGTAAAAATGTGCATATCAATGTGTAACATATACAATAATATGTATTGACCAACATACCTTCTGTTTAGATCAGCAGCAGGCCAAACCGTCCATGTAAAGAGGGGGGAAAAAACTTAATTTATAAACAGTGACATTTCAGCTAATACATGATCAGTTCATTTCCTGCTAAAAACAGAATAAGAGCATTAAAAATATATAAATGCATCATTCAAATAATAGGTTAAAATTCTGTGAATTTGTAAACCACAATGTTTTAGAAAAAACTACTACTACAACTTCAGCACCACATATAGTTTGTCATCTATCAATCAGTACTTCATCTAAGATTACACTACTACTTATAAATATGGCTTTTTCAATCAGGATAAATAATGGACAAATAGTTGTCACTGCACTTTATCATAGATCCTCATCTGTTATTCTCAGGTGAGTGTGTGCATACATTTGCAGCCTGCTATTATTATTATCAGCTTGCAAATTTTTGTGTGTGTGCGTGTTTCTGACCTCATCTCCTTCAGCCCCTTGGTCTGGATGACATGCAGAATTTGTTTAGGAGTCATGGGTGCATCTGAAAAGTTTTCTAAAACCTGAAAGAGCAACATGTAAAAAACAAAACAGCAAACACCCACTTATGAAATATAAATACTAGGGGTGCAACGATATTCGTATCGATATTGAACCGTTCGATACAGTGCTTTCGGTTCGGTACGCATATGTATCGAACAATACAACATTTGTAATTTATTTTATCAACTTTCCTTCTGACGATGCTGTCTGTGTTGAGCGCTCAGTGAATCTGCGTTCGACTACTCCGCCTAGGCTGCACTGTCGAGCGCAGATCCACTGAGCGCTCAACACAGACAGCATCGTCAGAAGGAAGAGCGCAGGGCAAGCTAGCGAGACAGAAGTTAAGCTCTCCTTGCAACATGGCAAATTGAACCTCCCCCACCCTCATTCAGATCTGGCATTTGGAATTATTTTGGTTTTCATGTGACGTATGACCCTGAAGGTAAGCGTCATGGACTAAAGTAAAACAGTATGTTGGATGTGCCACGCAATGCTCAATTACATGGGTGGGAACTAGTGTGTTAGCGCAGTTAGCTCGTTAACGTGTTGGCCGTCTAGCCCCATGCACGGGCGATCAGGGGTAGCTCGTTAACGGAGATTTGCCGTGTTGTGGCGTTAAGGTCATTTCAACGAGATTAACCTGAAAGCACTAGTGGGAACACAACGAATATGACTGCACATTTACGCCGACATCATCCTAGTGCAAAGACAAAAACAACAAGCATGCATGCTACAAACTTTACCCGAGTCATTTAGACAGCCGTTAGCACATGATTCTCCTTATGGGGACCTGATATGTTTAATATGCTGCTGAGAATATAGCCCAGAAGAAGCGTATAGTATAGCTTTTATTTTGGAAAGAGCCATTTCTCTGTAATAAACTCTCTTTTCCAAAGATGAGTGATTCCTCAATCAGATACAGGGCTCGCAAAATCGCTAGCCCGACGTCCCGGGGCTAGCGATTTTTCCAGTCGGGCTACCAAAATCTATCTCTGCCCTGCCCGTCGGGCTATTGTAGGAAGGAAATATATATGTCAATGCTTTTGCATTCTTTCGGAAATGTAGCTGGGTAATTATGTCATTGGCATCGGTGAGCCACTGTCAATATGTGACATATTGAAATCGCATTTGAATTTGCGCTTGTTTTTTGCTTTCACTTTGCAATCGTGCGAACTGTGTATAGAGAGCGACAGCACTGATCTGTGAGTGATGATAATTTGTGCACCAATTCCTCTGACATCGTCTTATCAATCGTTAGCTTACTATGCAAACATGACAAGTGAAATCTCCCGCAGCAAGCTTAAACATGTGAGAGGTTGATCGCGCAGAGAATCGCTGAGCTTATGTGAGTGCGTGTGTAAAAGCAGCAGGATATATATTTTAGTTCTGCTGAGCCAAATAAGACAGGTCAGGGTGAAGAAGTGACAGCCAAAGAAAAGCTTACCACAAAACGGAAAAGTTATGACAAATCAGACTATAAGGCAAAAAGAAAGTGCAGCTTTATGGTTTCATGGACAAAAGAATTTCTGTGGCTGCAATATGATGAGCTAAATAACCAGGGCTGCACATAAGTGGTCCGCAGGTGCGCATTCGCTGTCAAAATAAAAAACACGCACAAGGGTTAGGGTTAAATTTAAAAACTGTACTTTTGAGTTAAAATATATATTTATAATTTTAATAAATGACAAATTAAAAAGGCATGAACATTTTTTTGTATCAAAAAAATATCGAACCGTGACACCAAAGTATCGAACCGAACCGTGAATTTTGTGTATCGTTGCACCCCTACTAAATACAAGGTTAGCATTATTATATGGTCTTCGCCTTACAATATAAAAGGTCTTGAGGTGACTGTTGCTGTGATTTGGCATTATATAAATAAAATTATAGATTCATTTTATGTTGTATAACAGCACAAAATTAAATTCAGATTTAGTCCGTCATGCTGCAAAACAAAAGAGGTAAAGTAACACAAAAAGACATTTTGGGTGCAATTTACATTAGATATAAATATCTATCACACAGACACACACGTATGTAAGGATAAGAACAGCATCCTAAAGTTTTATAGCAAGTACGCTCATTTCTGAGCTTTTCAATGATCAGGGTGCAAATGTACAAAGACTACCGAGGAATCTAAAGCTGTTTACTCAAATTAAACTTGTGTAAAGTCAAGAGCAACTGCCTAAGAAGTAAGGTAATTAGCTTTGACGTAATGGGTTAAACGTAGATGAACTGAGGAGAAATAGTCCAGGGTGTGGAGAACTAATCCAAGCAAATAAAGAAGGAAACCCAGAGTCAAATAGTTTTAGGTCTGAGCAGCAAAGCTGTGGAGATGAAGCTGCAGACTGAGGCGGAGCAGCGTGGACACTGACAAAAGGCCACGCCTAGATGTTTTAGCGTTAAAGGAGGATAGCACACGAAAGTGGTTATGTTGTACTAGAGAATGAGAGATTTCCTGTATTGAGCGTGCAATTCTGTCATGTAGCCTTCATGTTGCTAGGATGTTGGTCAATTTGTAGTTATTCTTTCAGAATTATTCAAAACTAAAGATTTAAGTAGACCAGTTAAATCACAGCTGACCGTGAGGCTTATGAGAAAATAAATTCTTGAAAAAGGGAATAGATGATGAGCTCCAAACGATCACCTAAAAGCCTAGACTTCCTCCACACACAGCACCTGTGCCCTCCAGAAACTTAGACGAATCCTCATTTGACTCTGAAAATGTAATCAATTCAAAAATTTGACGAAGATGACGCACGTAGTGAACATTTTCTATATGAAAAACATGCATCAGAGACTTATCACAGAGAACAGTAACATATAATTCTTATAAAGGTTTTAAATTTAAATGCACTGACACAACTAGACAGCTGGGCTGTCTTTGGGTTTTTAGAAAGGGGAAAAAACAAAAATGAAATCACAAGACTAATGTGTTGAGTAATTAATCAAAATACTGACAATTGATCTTTGTTTTAGTTTGCTTTTTGCTTCTGTCTATTACATGCACCAAAAACATTTTTCCAGCTTCCAGTAAGTAGAAATGAAAAGACACTCTAAAAATATATTGTTTGGAAAACTAAAGTTTCCTGAAAAGTTGTATAATTTTGATTAACAAAAAGATGTTGCCCATCAAACTCTTAGAGAATAACACAATGGTCAGTTCAGAGCTTTATTTTCCCCTTTGTAAATCTGATGAATTGAAATGAAACACTTAGTATCTGTTTAGAGTAGAGCTGGGCGATAGAAC